GAAAGTAACAGATTTTAGCTCAATGACGATCCTAAATTAATAATAAAATTAAATTAAATTATTAGATTCGAACAAGATTGTTGTATGTGTTTGAATAATGATGTTTAACTGCCATGAATCAATATCGATCATTTGTAAAAATCAGCTTGTTTTTAATAAACTGTAAACCAACTTGCACTACACGAATGATAATGTCGTGCCTGCAAGTGTAGACTGACTGCCAGATGACAGTATACTATTAGTCTATTGACACTAACCAAATAATCATTACCAATACCAATACAAACTGTTTACATTTTTACAATATACTTTCATTTAATAAATTGTAAAAGCCATTACTAAACTTGAGCATTTAGTCTTGGTCACAGCTTTTTCCAACATAGATGCAGCAAATGTCCATGCGAGTGCATCCAGAAGTAGGTTTAGGACCACGAGTAGTGGTCAAAGGTGGAGGTGAACCGCTACCACATTCCGCTGGAACAGAGAAATCGTTTGTGTAATCTGCTGCATTTACTCCCAGACCACGTTTGGCGAATCCCTTCCAAATCTCGCACTTGTTGGCCCCATTATAATAGGCTGCATCGGACGCAATAATGGCATCACGAGCATTGACCAAGATAGGACTGCATGGCTGATGCATCAATCCACCCATCACATTCTGCATAGCAACAATGTTGCCAGCCTTGCCCTTGGCATCGTAGAGATTGGTAGAAAATCCACTCTTGGTGACCAAGTTCCAGTAAACTTCCCAAAGCATGGCTGCCCACACTTCGCCAGCCTCGTGCAGCTCTGTGCGGGTTTTAAGGTCGCCATATGTCAAAGGGTTGATTTTCATGTCCGTAGTGTAAGGATGCGAGCGAATACCTTTGAGTTTATTAATAACATACGCTCCAAGGATAACTGGCGTGCCGGCTTTGTCGGATTCTTTGGCAGTCACGATCATGGCAAATATGTCGGACCAACCTTCGCTCATACCTCTAGTTTCATGGCCCGACATGCACAAAGGCGCCAAAGATCCACCTGTCAAACGAGTCGAAACACCATGACCATATTCGTGCAATTGAATGAATTGAATCAATCATGCCAATCATGACAGTGATTGTTGATTATATTGACTGATTGTGTACAATTGATTGATACAAGTGATATGGATGCATCATTCGGTGTTGTTGAATCAGATCATTGCTTGATTCTGTCAATGTGATCAAATGGATTACTACAAAACTGTACATGCTCAAGTTGAATCAAGTATTGAATCGAGTATTGGATTGATATTTACACACAACCACAATTGTAACCACAATTGCAATCAGCACAGTTTGAATATTAGACATTTGAACATCACGTATCGAGTTGTGGATAAATGCGAGTTGGCATATTGGACTGTTTTTGTAGTTTATTAATGATTTGATTCACGACTGTTTGAATTCAAGGCTCAATATGGATTACAACTGGATTGTCGTTGTTTCCATTTGTGATGACAAATCTGTCAATGTGTTGATTGATTCCTAGTCCATTGATCAATTCATTGATCAGTAATTGTCCAAATCAGAGTTGTATCCGAGTCGAGTTGTCAATCAGGATACCATAACCTGACATCCAAACGATTGTCCAAACGATTGTCCAAACCATCAATGATTGCCAGAATAAGCTTTACGACTCGACTGCAATAACCACCACAATCATAGTCAGGTTAGTATGTTGATCCGTTTACAAAGTTACAATACTGCAACAGATTCAACATACTCTTGAAAGTGCTGCACACCACATGAATCCAGCAAACCCACTGATGAATTGAACCAATCAATTGACCAATGACATGACTCGATATTGGACATCGAGTTGCACACAGTTGGTAAAAAGTCACCGACATGTTCAGATAGTCAAACCTTGACTACAGGTTGATATCATCACCCAACACACCAAATACAACACATAATCTGGACGACTACTGGATCATATTGTGGATATCAATCGACGGAGTTACTGGTTCCAAACAACCATGTACAATTATGTACAGTCATTACAGGACAATATAATACATTTATGAATAGCATGTTGTAATCAACACGAGTGGAGTTGTACAATAGACTTGTCATGGTTTGTAATAGTTTGATATGAACATGATGACTCGGACTCTATTCAGTCGGATCAACTCGACTACAATTGGTCGTGTATATTATGATTGACAAGATCAATTGTAGTTGAACTCGAATACAGATTGACTGTTGAATCACAATGCGTGGTATCAGCAACATGATGTGCTATATAGTGGAATGTATACGCTAACCTGACATGTGTCATGTAGTGTGTATTCGATCAATATGGGTATTAGCAATCAACAAGTCATACGATGTTTGTGTTCGAGTGATGGAATGAAATACAATGGAATGGAGTGGAGTGGAATGAGTGCACCAATCCAGAATACGAGTCAACCATGACATATGATCATGATGTGTGGGTTATTATATACCTGACACTAATATCCATGCACATGAGTCTTGGTGTCCTTGCCACATTTAATTACGTTGGGTTCTGTATAACACTATATGTGAAACTATTCTGAATGTTGAATAAACGACCCAAAAATCAGATTCAACGCTGACAAATGACCTGCAATCCAAACAATACAACCCACGTTTATAAATATTGCAAAATCGATGTAGCAAGTTGCAGAAACGCCATACAGATTGATAGTCAACATGAAATATCTGGCTTTTCGTTGCGGTGATGCAATCAATGATGTTGATCAACTCGATGCACTTCAGGGTTTACCAAATCAATAGCATATATTGATGTGCTTGATGTGTTTGATGTACTCGAAGCCGTCAATAATCCAGACCTGTATGACTGTTGATCGGCCATACAAGTTGTAGCAATGAACAAGCTTGACATTTTCAAAACATGATTTTGATGACTAGACAACGTATCAAATGACTTGTATATTCAACCACATGTTTGATTACATGTTTGGCTACATGTTTGATTACAGATGGTTTGTGGAATGAGCTGCAGATCATTGAGCTACACTGCATGGTCCACTATGCATTCGATCCACACGTCCAATACAACTATTACAATGCTAACAACTATCCGAACCAATTCAGTACAATATGTTACAACTAAACGGATTCCATTGACACATAAAGAACACCTCGTAAAATAAACACTTTTCTGTATTGATCTTGTAATGGTTGTCTTGGAATAAACGATCGTTACATATTCATTGTTGTTGGAAATGGAGTATTTGTTTTATTGAAACTCTATTCTAATATCAGATACGTTTGCGATCTAGCTCAACATATCTCAGGAATTCAATAATTGTTTCCATGCTAGCACGTAGTGTTTTGAAGAGTTTGAGGTTGAAAAGATGACAAGAATGTAGGATTGACAGATATGAACATTTGTATTTTGTACAAGAGTGAGCATCAAGATCAGTGAACTGAGAGTTTTTAAAACAATATTCAATAAGATTGGCACCAAGTATGACTGTCATGTATTTGAACTACTGTTATGTTGAGTGGTTTCTACTATTCTTGTATTGAGACAATATATGTCAGAGTGGATTAGTACAAGATCCACTCAACTGCCTTGCAGAACCAGACTATTGATCTTCAGCTTGCTTCCAGTTTAACAGGCTCATGAGTGCCAATCTACAAATGTAGTATACCCTAACCCTGTTTATTTAATATCATTTTTGTTGCTACCGTTTGTAATATCAATAACATGCTTGGACAATCTGCTACATGCTGACCATTTTCGACTTTTGAATCTGGCTCTGCGCTAGTCTGGTCTCGCTCCCGTACAGATCTTTCAAGACAATGCTACTGAAGAAAGGGCAGAAAATGCTCGTCTTGTAAGTTGGACTGACTTTGCTGCTAAATACTTTGTTTTTCAAACGTTCACAATCATTCAAATGTGTTCTTGACTGTCTCGACTGATTTTTGGCATTTATTAAACTGACATTGTCTTGATTATATTTTACCATTTATTTGAATCAATTCTGATCACTTGCTTTACGAAATAAATTATCAAATGATAAACTGTAATGTCTAGTCCGCATTTGTTGGTGCTATTGCTGTAGGTGATCTCGTCAAGAGCACTCTTGGACCCAAGGGCATGGTTAGTATTTTCACTATTAATTGACTGCTCTGTAAATTTCTGATTACTGACAAAATATGCTTGGCTTTATCTGTTTACATAGGACAAGATTCTTCAGTCTGTTAGTAACCACAAAGATGTCATGGTTACTAACGATGGTGCTACTATTCTCAAATCAATTGCACTTGACAATGCTGCTGCTAAAGTTCTTGTTAGTACGTATATCCCACGAGTATTTATCTTGCTTATTGACCACTATCTGATCATCAATTTCTTTTATTGTTGGCAATTACCTGAAATTTAGACATTTCCAAGGTTCAAGATGACGAAGTTGGTGATGGAACCACTTCTGTGTGTGTTCTTGCTGCTGAACTTTTGCGAGAAGGTGAAAAGCTTGTCAACCAAAAGATTCATCCTCAAACTATCATCGATGGATACCGTATTGCATCAGCCACTGCACACAAGGCTCTTGAGGCATCTGCTATTGATCACAGCAAAGACGCACAGCTTTTCCGAGAGGATTTAATCAATATTGCCAAGACCACTCTTAGTTCCAAGGTTTTATCACAAGACAAAGAGTATTTTGCTAAACTTGCAGTTGATGCAGTTCTTCGTCTAAAGGTATGTATTTTGAATTCTTGTATAGTTTGTCTACAATAACTGTCTATTGAGTGTTGATTTTATTTTATTTTTAATGCTCTCAACTTGTGTTGGATAGGGAAGCACCAACCTTGACCACATTCAAATTATTAAGAAGCACGGTGGAAAGCTGACCGATTCTTACCTTGATGAAGGTATACAATGATTGTCTGATGATTTGCTCCAATTTTGGAACCCATTCTCATTTGTATGGTTTAGGGTTCATTTTGGACAAAAAGATTGGTGTTAACCAGCCCAAGCGTATTGAGAATGCCAAGATCCTTATTGCCAACACTCCTATGGATACTGACAAGATCAAGATCTTTGGTGCTCGTGTTCGCGTCGACGCTACAGGAAAGCTAGCTGAACTCGAGCGTGCCGAGCGTGTATGTAGAACTGATGATGTATCAACTGAATATCAAGAACAATTTTATTCAAATGGTTTTGCTGACTCAGTTGAATGTTTATTTGTTTGCACCAATAGGAGAAAATGAAGACCAAAGTAGACAAGATCAAGGCACACGGAATCAACTGCTTTGTCAACAGACAGCTTATTTACAATTGGCCTGAACAACTGTTTGCAGATAGTGGAATCGCTGCTATTGAGCACGCTGATTTTGATGGAATTGAACGGCTTGCTCTTGTTACAGGTTAGTTTTTGCATCAGATATGTGCTGCTAAAATAGACTGATGTGCTAATTATGATTGTTTAAATGGATCAACTCTTTGACTACAGGTGGAGAAATAGCATCCACTTTTGATCATCCCAATCTTGTTCGTCTTGGACACTGTGATTTAATCGAGGAGATTATTATTGGAGAAGATAGACTGATCAAGTTTTCTGGTGTTGCTGCTGGTGAAGCATGCACGGTTGTTCTTCGTGGCGCTACCAACCAGCTGCTTGACGAGGCTGAGCGCTCCTTGCACGATGCCCTGTGTGTTCTTTCCCAAACCATTCAGGAACCTCGTACTGTTCTTGGCGGCGGTTGCTCTGAAATGCTCATGGCCAAGGCTGTCGAAGATATTGGAGCAGTCACTCCAGGAAAGCAGGCCATTGCTATCGAATCATTTGCTCGTGCTCTTCGTCAGGTAGATTATTGTGTCTGTATTTATTGTGTCTTGGCAGCTGAACTGACATGCGCAACTTATTACGATAGCTTCCCATGATTCTTGCAGACAATGCTGGCTACGATAGTGCCGATCTTGTTTCAAAACTTCGTGCTTCTCATGCCAATGGAAAGGCTACCTCTGGACTTGGTAATTGATGGGTTATTTTAGGTTTTCGCTATGGTAATATTTGTCAAGATAGTATTAACATTTAAATTTTATGTTTGAACCCAAATCAGATATGTACAACGGTGCTGTTGCAGATGTGCGTGCTCTTGGCATTACTGAGTCGTTTAAACTTAAGAGGCAAGTTCTCTTGTCTGCTTCGGAAGCCGCTGAGATGATCTTGCGAGTAGATAACATCATTCGCTGTGCTCCACGCCAGCGTAATCGCGAATAAGAATAGCAAAAATGAATCTATTGATATGTAGCTTGATATACTTTTATTTATGGATGTGTATGACATACTATGATTTACAATTACGTTGGTGTGAAGCATGGTGAGTGATGCGATCCATTCAGTCATTTCAAAGTAACCACAGTCAAAAACAGTGCAAGATACTGCCGTTTGGTAATAAACGGTGTTTATTGGGTGGACAAGATACCGATTATTTACAAGACAAATGGAATGAACCATCATGTAGTGAACACAGTATACACGCCATATTAAGATACTGTCAAATAGTTTATCAGATGAAAACCTTGCTTTCCAGTTTCAACACAACCATCATCAAGATTCAAGTTGAGATTTGATCCAGAATACCAAAACGAGATCAGATTGTTAATTTAGCAAAAACTACAGCACTCAGTATTCCCGTGTGGTCCCCCACCACAGTACTGACTGAGCCATCACAAGCTTGACTTCGGAGATCGAACGGGATCCGGTATTTTCTTGTGTGTATGGCCGTAGATGTTAATTGAACCAATTATAC